TTTAGATTAATTCGAACCTTCACTGCGTGGGCGCACAATTGTTCTTTTGTTGCCTTTCGTAGCTTTGCGCGTTTTTCAACCCTTTTAAATCATTTGACTGTCTAATGAAGCATTTAAGAGAAAAGCATTTGAAAGCAGAATATCAAATGTCTTGGTAATGGTCTTTCCGACTCATAAACTTGCACAACTATTATATTAAAGAAAAGCGTTATTTTAAATTAAATAAGTATATACATATGTATGCATATATATTTATATATCGTGTAAATACCGACGGATTTATCGACGAACTATTAACAGTGTCAAGTTTTTGTTTCTGTATCCTATATAAGTAATTTGAGATTATTCTTCACGCGTATTTAACATGTCTAAAATCTTAAATTCACAATCACCGCATGAAGCCGGTTTTATGCATGGTTTTTGTCCGTCGGTCATTTAAACAGTCACATGTAAATTGCAGGTAATCTTCAAGCTTTTGTGCTTGCTTGCCGTAGCTAAATTTATATTTACGCGACATTATGCGTCCCATAAAGTTACTAAAAATATGACCTACACAAGAAAATAAACAACATACACACTTCATAATCGATATGAATGCATTCAGGAGAATTAGTCGCGAATGCTGATGAAGCGACGATAACTTGGTTGCCAACATATTGCTTCTAAGTACAAACTTATTGGCATACTTGTTATGAATTTTCCAGGGTAATTCTTGGGAGCGAAATTATTTTGTTCAACATGATTTACGTTACCAATATTTTCTTTTTTACCTAAGCAACGAAGCTATCGGAAAATATCCGATAATTTTTAAGCGTTGGTGGTTTTACATATTTTCTCGCTAAATCCATGGAATTTAACGCAGCTGTTAACTTTCTCATCTATGTTAAGAACATGAACTCTCATTGAATAGCTGAATTCAGAGGATATCTTCAAATGAATAGTACAAACGAGAATCCAATTTTTAACCGCAAAATTTTCAAACAATTAGTTGTGTAAAGATGCCTACACTNTTGTGGCTCATTGTTACTACATAGTTATGAGAGAAATGTTTAATAAGCCTGCAGTATTGAGTTTTTTGTTTATTTTGTTTTTAAAGCCTTTATATGCGAATGCCATCATATACATTAGCATACATACTTTCGGAATACAAAATTTTGCCATTGAAATTTGTATGTGTACTAAAGCAGCATCCCTTGGGTAAGCGCACAAATGCAGCTACCAACGGAATTCCAATGTATGTAGTGTAATTCAGGAG